AAAAAAAAAAAAAAAAAAAAAAAACCCTGGATCACAAATAGACATACTGTCATTCTGTTTGCTAAATCCTAAGATTCTGACTTGAAATGTGCTTTATTTTTGTTGCACTAGCAAATGGTCTTGCAAACTGTACACACTCCCAGAATATTGTTAGTTTCCGTGAATGGGTATAATAACTTCCCACATCAAGTACATGCAGAATACACGGCAAAAACTAGAAGAAGAAAATTATTATGTTCACTCCTTGTACTGTGTAGCTCCAAACAATCACTGTTGCTTTTTCTTCCATTTATTTATTATTTATTTATTTGAAACATTATAATTTCCCTTCAAGCTGGTCTTCTTTTACAATTCCACATACAAATTTCCAACAGAGGACAATGCTTCTAACTAAAATTGATCTTTTAGGTTCAGTTTATAAACAACACACACACACACAAAATAACAGTTAATGCCTTTGTTCAGGTAATCCAGAGTAATATGTATATATAGAGAGCCATACACTTTAGTTACTAATGTTGGTTTCATCAAAATCCTTATGTTTTTAAAATTTGTCTTATATTCAAAGGCCACTTTTTACCCCTGTTTGTTTCTCCATTTTGTTCTGATTCTACTGGGAATGTCGGGTAATCTGAGTCCCATGTGCCTAGCAATGAGTTAACAGCTACAGGGACACATAGGAAGAAATGGAGCAATATCTGTGACCTTGAATAATTTAGAGTCTAGTTGAAAATGTAATATAAAGGCACTTGGAAGAAATTGGAAAGAGGCAGAAGGCTATTGCTTTAGTTGTAGCTCTACTCCAAAATTCGATGGCTTAAAAAAACTATTTCATTCTCTCTCCCGATTCTGTGCATTCGAGTGAGCTCACATAGGTAGTTCTGTTTTGAGTGATATTTGCTGGGTCCTGGGGGTTAGATCTCCCTGGGCTAGGATGGCCCCCTCAGGTGGATTGCATGTGGCACTGTCAGCCAGAAGAACATCTGGGGCGGTCCTTGGAGCTTAACAGTTCTCCTCTGCATGGCCCCTCTACATAGCCTGAGCTTCTCACAGCATGGTGGCTGGGATCCAAAAAAGAACATCCCAAGAATCTGTGTGCCAAGAGGGAGAACACAAAAACTGCCAAGTCCTCTTAAAGGCTGAGAACTGGCACCACCTCACTTTTGCAATAGTCCCAGGACCATCCCAGGTTCTCTGGAGGGGGTGTAGTGACAGTATGCAGATCAAATTGACATCTCAGTGAGTGATGTGATGAAGAGTGTGTGGCCATCTTTAACCCACTATTGATATTCAAAGGCATAGAGGAAGGAACTCCTAAAAAAGGCCTAACCAGATTAGATAGTGCCACTACACAATAAAAAGAAGTAAAAGCCAACCTCAGTATCAAAATGTTAATACCCAGTTTCTATCCTTGCTGAGAATACTCACCATAAACCCTGGGTCAATTTCTATATATATGCAAGTGCTATTGGGCAAAGGATACCAAGATGAACATTCCTATGGAATTTTCAGCACTACAAGGGAGTTAAAGGTGTTTGCAGTTAAATGTGCAAATTAAAAAGGGACAAATGCTAAAAGAAAAGAAGGTTGTTTCTCAGGCAAGATCTTCACTTTACGGCATTTAAACTCTCAGCAATAAAATTTACCTATGAAAATGTTTTTTTTTCTTTTAATAATAAAATATACCTTAATTTGAATATATATTTCTTTCTCTGTATATTTAGCTATCAAACATTTATTGATCACATACAACATGCCAGACATTTCTGTAAGCATTTCTTAGTAATGTCATTTACTTTTATAAATAATCTTATTATATAGGTTCTGTTACTATCTCCATTTAATAGCTTAGAAAACTAAGGCAAGGAAATTATAAGCATCTTGCTAATATAAGTTCTAGTAAGTGCTATGGCAGGGATTTAAACCCAGGCATTTTGCTCCAGATTCTACGATCTTAATCACTGTATAATATTCCCTAAAAATTCTTCTGACATAGATGTTAATTCTCTCTCCTCCCTCCCTCCCTCCCTCTCTCGATAGATAGATAGATAGAAAGATAGACATAGATATAGATAGATATCCTAGATAGACACACACACACACACACACACATATATGTATCTTTTATTTCATTCTTACCTTTGTGAGAAGATTAAAGAAGCTAACCAAAAAAGCTGAGTTTAGGGGAGATGTTAGTCCAGTTTCAGAACCTTAAAACTTCTTTGTTCTTTTCCCTTTCTTTACTTTCTTTTTCTTTCTTTGAGTGTATAAAAGAAGGTTATGCTGAAGGTAAAATTACATAATAAACCATTCCTTTATATTTTACATAACATATATATTTTAGTTTGCGTGATTATAATTTTATATAGATCACAGATTTCTAGCTTAGACTTGACCTTGCACCTTTTTTGTACCTTGCACCTTTTAAGAACAGTGCTTAACACATATTATGTCTTTAAAATATTTGTGGTGAAATATTTGTGGTGAAGTTCATCCAAAGGAGATGGTGTCTATCAAAGTGTTAGCAGTGGAGATGAAGTAAG